GACGATCTAGCCTCGAGGCTTCTGATCGACCCGCGTGGCCTTGAACATATTCGCCCTGGGTGACCTAGCCCTAAGGCTTCTGATCGACCCGCGTGGCCTTAAAAAAGAAAACGTTTGCCCCGGACGATCTAGCCTCGAGGCTTCTAATCGACCCGCGTGGCCTTGAACATATTCGCCCCGGGTGACCTAGCCCTGAGGCTTCTGATCGACCCGTGTGGCCTTGAACATATTCGCCCCGGGTGACCTAGCCCTAAGGCTTCTGGTCGACCCGCGTGGCCTTGAACATATTCGTCCCGGGTGACCTAGCCCTAAGGCTTCTGGTCGACCCGCGTGCCTTGGACATATTCACCCCAGACGACCTGCCTTCGAGGCCCTGTGGGTTATGGCACATATAGTTGTTTTCAACAAAACACAACATTTCATTAAGCACATCATCACAGATATTGTCGTACATCAAAATGCCCTTCAGGCTACACGATATTCACCGGAACAAGTACTACGGTGTCAACAAAAGGCAACAAAAGGTATACATTCCGCTATTTCTCGCTAGTTTTACTTAAGCAAAATACTTCTTAAGGTGAATAACGTTCCACGCCCTAGGCAACGCCTTGCCATACTTGTCTTCGAGCTCGTACGCTCCTCCCCTCAGGACTTTGAGGATTTTGTATGGTCCCTCCCACACTGGTTCCATCTTTCCGAATTTCTTCAGCGCATCTGCCCTTCGCCACACCAAGTCTCCAACTTGAAATCCTCTGGGTCTAACCTTCTTATCATAGGCCATCTTCATCCGTTGTTTGTACAAATCCACCCTTAGGGCCGCCGCGTTGCGCAATTCGTCAATCGTCGCCAAGGCCTCTCTCTGGAGCTCATTGTTAGTGCCCTCATCATATGTGTCGACCCTTCGCGAGCTGGCCCCCACTTCGACGGGTATGACAGCGTCCATCCCGTAGACCAAGCTGAATGGTGTTTCCCCGGTCGAGCTCTGAGAGGTTGTTCTATACGACCACAGCACCGAATCTAGCTCATCCACCCATGCGCCCGACGCCCTTTCGAGTCTCTTTTTGAGTCCTTGTACGATGATTCGGTTAGCGACTTCTACTTGCCCATTGGCTTGCGGATGCGCCACTGCCACGAATTTTTGTCTTATCTTCATCTCTTCGCACCATGATTTAATCTTCGACCCATTGAACTGTGTGCCGTTATCCGATATCAAGGTCCTTGGTATACCATATCGACAGCAAATATTTGTAAATAGGAAGTCGATCACCCTCTTCTCGGTTATGGTGGCCAACACGTCTGCTTCGACCCACTTGGTGAAATAATCTATAGCGACCAGTAGCCACTTGCGTTGCCCCGTTCCCTGTGGTAACGACCCCACGATATCAATCCCCCATTGCGCGAAGGGGATAGGGGTCATCATAGGCATCATCTCCTCTGCGGGTCTGTGTGTGGCTACATCGTACATCTGGCAAGGCCGACAAGCTATTACCATCTTTAATGCGTCGGCACGCATAGTAGGCCAGAAGTAACCCGCCCGTAATGCTTTTCCAACGAGTGCCCGCGACTTTATGTGGCTACCGCAGCACCCTTCGTGGATCTCCCACAGGACGTAATCCCCTTCTTCCATCGACACACATTTGAGGTGTGGTCCCTCATATGTCTTCTTGTATAGGTTGTCCCCCTCCAAAAAGAATTTCGAGGCTCTCCTTACCAGCTTCTCTCGAGGAATTCCTATCTTCTGGTTTTTCTCCTCGGGCTAACCAATTTTTGATCTCGGCCATCCAATCGACCCTTTCTTCTATCGCCATTACTTGGTCTATTGAGCTCTGCTCCATGTGTAGCAGGGTTATCGACCTGGAACCACATTCCGCCAGTGAATTAGCCATCTTGGCGAGCAAGTCTGCTCGATTGTTCTCGCTTCGTGGTATTTGGATGATCTCCCATTTGGTAAAGCCTTTGAGCAACTCATGCACCTTATCCACATACCTTCTCATCCGATCTTCTTTTACTTCAAATTCGCCCTTGACTTGCCCCACTACGAGCTGTGAGTCCGAATGTAGTTGGACCTGTTGGCCTCCCGCTGCTAGAGTGAACTGGATACCCTTCATCAACGCCTCATACTCGGCCTCATTATTTGAGGCGTGAAAGTTCAGCTTCACTGCGTACTCAAGGTGGTCGCCCTCCTGTGTAATTATAACTACTCCCACACCTGCTCCGCCCATAGCCGAGCTACCATCTACATGCGTTTTCCACAGCCCTGGCTCTCCGTCGGTGGTTAGTTCTCGAATGAAATCTGCTAAGGCCTGAGCTTTTATGGCCCTTCGGGGCTCGAACACTATATCGTACTCGCCAAGTTCTACTGCCCACTTGGTGAGTCGGCCCGACACATTAGGTCGACCCAACGTATCTCCCAATGGCATGTTAGTGCGGACAACGACCTTGTGGTTCAAGAAATATGGTCTCAGCTTTCGGATCGTGATAATCAACGCCAGTGCCACCTTCTCTATGTCCGAATAGCGGGTCTCCGCCCCTTGCAGCAGTCGGCTCGTATAATACACGAGCCTCTGCTGTCGATCTTCCTCCTTTAATAGTACTGAGCTGATCGCCACTCGCCCTACGGACAAATATAACACCAACTCATCCCTCGGTTCCGGCTTCTATAAGAGGGGTAATTCTCCTAAGAACTCTTTGAGTCGCTCGAACGCCTCCTGCGCAGCCATCGTCCATTCGAACTTCGTGCCTTTTTTCAAAGCTTTGAAGAACGGGAATTTCTTCTCAGCTGCTTGGGCTATGAATCGACTGAGTCCTGCCAATCGTCCTGCCAACACTTGGGCCTCACGACGGTTTCTGGGTGGATTCATCTCCAAGACCGCCTGCACCTTGGCTGCGTTCACCTCGATCCCCTTCTCGGTGACAACATATCCCAGAAATCGGCCCGTCTTCACCCCGAATTTGCATTTGGCTGGATTCAGCTTCATACCGTACTCCCACAGGGTGGTAAAAGTCTCTCTCAGGTCCCCAACGTGGTCGACTGCTCGCTTACTCTTTACTAGCATGTCATCGACGTATACCTCCATGTTAAGCCCGATCTGGCCTTTGAACATTTGGTCGACTAGGCATTAATATGTAGCCCCTGCATTCTTCAGACCAAAGGGCATAACCACGTAGCAGTACGTCCCCTTGGCCGTGACGAAGCTTACTCTTTTTTGGTCGTCCTCTGCTAATGGGATTTGGTGATACCCCTGCGAGGCGTCCATCATGCTCAGAAGTTCGCACCCCGCCGTCGAATGGACCAGCTGGTCGATCCTCGGCAGCGGGTAATGGTCCTTGGGGCAAGCTTTGTTTAGGTCGCGAAAGTCCATACACATCCTCCACTTGTCCAGCTCCTTCTTCACCATGACCGCGTTGGACAGCCACTCCGGATACTGGATCGGTTTAACATGCCCAGCCCGCAACAATTTTTCTACCTCTTTCTCAATGACCAGGTCGAGCTCATGCCCGAAGTGTCTGCGTTTTTGCTCCACAGACCTCATTTTCTTGTCCACATTGAGGCGGTGGACTGCCAGGCGGGGGTCTATACCAGTGAGCTCCTCGGGGCTAAAAGCAAAGATATCTACAAACTCCTTTAACGTTCGCACCAGCTCTCCCCTAATGTTATCTGGTAGGTCTTTTCCCACTCGGGTCGTCTTCCCCTCTACTCCCTCTATTAGCTCAATCTCGAGTAGCTCATCTCGGGTAGCGATGTCCACTTTCACTTGCTTTTCAGCTTGCCCTACGATCTCTTCGGCTTTCCTCTTTCCCGACTGGCCCTCTTTGATGGTGACTTGATAGCAGGATCTTGCCATCTTTTGATTGCCCTTTACCTCTCCTACTTTGCTTCCCACTGGGAATTTCAACTTCCGGCAATAGGTCGATACTACTGCCCTGAAGATATTCAGGCTTGGCCGCCCGAAAATTACATTGTATGCTGACCCAGTCTCTACAACTAAGAACTTGATCATCTTCACCTGCCTTAAGGGTGTTTCCCCCAACGCCACGGGGAGGACGACTTTGCCAAGGGGGACTACCTCCGCGCCACTAAAGCCATATAGGGCCGTTTGCACCGGCT